ATTTCTTCACCTGTCACTTTCTTCCTCTACCACTTATGAGATTTCTTTTGCTTTTGAACTTCTTGATAGAATTGTGATTAGAAATCTGGTCTTGGGGTACTTTTGATATTGTGAGACAAGGAAGAGACAGATAAATGGAAAGAATGAGTCAGCCATGTGAGTTTGCCCATATGATCAGGACCCTGTGCCAAGAATGCTGTCTTGACTCCAGTCCCCTGCTGTTTGCTCCGCTGGGGCCCTTACTTCTGTCTTAGCCTCTGCCCTTTCCCTAGAGCTGCCAGGCACTGGACTGCCAACCTCTTCATGGAGCCTAGAGGGTGGGCTGGGCAGGAGGGTCTCCTAAGAGTGATGTGGTTCATTTGGGCCAGGTATGCCTTTTCTCCCAGCCCCCAACTTTTATCTTCACAAGTGATAGTCCTGTTTTCCCCTCTCCCACTTAAAAAAACCCAAAAAACAGTTCTCTAAGCTTTCTTCACTGTGGGCATAGAAACCATTTCTAGTGGAAAAGAGAGGGCACAAATCCAATGAGTTTGTTTCTAAGTTCCATTTTAAAATGGGTGAATGCCATCCCTGCCCTTGCTCCTATGTCTTCCCCCCACTCCCTAAGCAATGTTGGTTCAACATGTATTTGAATTTGTTGTCTTGGAAATCAGGGTTTATTCATCAAAAGTTTGTTTCAACAAACATTTGCAGCCCTGCATAGTGTGACATGTTAGACCAGAAACCCTGTTGCTCAAGTTAGTGAACCTTTAGCTTCATGTCTCTGAGAAGAGATTTTCTACCCTTCACCTATCTACCCCTAATTCCCAACACCTAATTTGGTTTGTCAGGAGTTCCCCCACAGGGGAATTATCCCATCCCTTCTCTGCCTTAAGAGTTACATAAAGTTTTCTGAAAATCTGTACTTCCAAGGAGAGTTTCTTCCTCCCATAACTCGTCAGAACAAGTAGTTGTCTTATATTCTGCCTCTCCTTTCTTTTTGCTTATTTCAGTCTTTCAGAAAAGCCATCCTGGTAGAATCAGGGGTCTTAATGTCAAATCCCAGAATTGGCCCAGCCCCTAGAGGTTTTCTAATGCCACCCGCCACCCAGTGCAGGAATCTTCTTGATGTCAGCCCTGACCAAGGAAAGGTCATCCACCTTCAGCTTGTACCCAAGCAGCCCATTCCTTTTATGAACAGCTCTGATGGTTAGAAAGTTCAACCTTAATATTAATCTCCCTGTAATTTTTACCAGTGACCCTGGCTGGTTCTGCCCTCAGGAGCCTCCCCTCTTCCACGTGCCTCACCTTCTGATCATTGGACAGAGGAATGTTGGTCCTTGCAGTCTCTCTCTAGGCTTTCTCTAGGGCTTTCAGCCATTTGCCCTCCTAGCATATTTCCAGATCTTTTACCTTTCTGGTTGTGCTCCAACTTGTCAGTGTCTTCTTAGCTGCCCCTCCACCAGACCTGACCAGTGCAGAGAACAGGGAGACCATCGCCGTGCTGATACTTAGGATAGTGGGCCTTCTCAACAGCCATATCTCACACTGTTTAATCGGATTCACAAGGCCACTCAACATATTAAACCCAGAATCTGCCAGGCATGGGTCACACGAGCTAGTTAGTGGCAAGGCTAGGACTAGGAAATAGCATTTGTAAGCCAGGCTAGTATACTTTTCACTCTGCCATCTTGTGTCTCTTACTTGTAAAATAATAATAGGAATAGGAACAAGAGGTCATCTGGTCAGAAAGCTACAAACCAAATGGTTTTTTAGCTCACAGGCCATACAGCGTTTGGCCGGCTGGCTGTACTGGTTTTTTGGCCATGGAGTGCAGCCCCCGAAGGCCAACCCTGTAAATCAGTCATCAGTCATCGATAAAGAACTCGTCATGGGTTCTGTCCTTACTGGCAAGGTCCCAACTGAGTGAGGTCTTCAGGCCTGATGTCTCTGTGCCAGTGCTGATGAAGCTCTCTCTGAGTCCAGGCCAGCAGGATTTGTTATAAAGTATCAATCTTAGACATGCCCCGCCATGATGCCTTTCTTCATCTGTCCAGTGCCACCCATGCAAATCCAGACCTGGCGCACCCAAGTCTTGACTTCCATCATGTTGACATAGGAAGTCCACCCAATTTGTTGGGGTTCTCCTGTGAGTTCTCTTTGTGGATAGAAGGGCTATCTGCTGCTCACCCGTATTCTTGCCTCATAGGATCATGGATTTTGAAACAGGTGGAAGGAAACAAGCATTTATGAAACACCTAATATGTGACAACAGGCACTGTGGTGCTAAGCTCTTTACAGATATCTCATTTGATCTTCCCAATGACCCTGGAGGGGAGCTAGTATTACTATCCCCATTTTACAGTTGAGGAAACTGAGGCAGACAGGTTAAGTGACTTGCCCAAGGTCACATGTCTAGGAAGGATCTGAGACTGGATTTGACCTGAGGACTGCCTGTCTCCAGGTCCAGCACTCTGTTTGTCACCCCCACCTCACACTTGAGCCAAATGATTTTTGAACCTAAATACAGAACTCAATGTCATCCTGTTTGTTGCAGCCTATTGTCTTTCCCTGCCAGGATCTTTTCCAGTCCTGATTCTGTCAGCCAGTACATTGGCTCTCTTTCCTCACTTTGTATCATCTCTGTACCACATTTGATAATTCTCCTCTCCTTCTCCTCATCCCAGTTGTTGATAACAATGTTGAACAGAGCAGGACCAGGATTTGGCTATATACCACAAGTGGCCTCACTCCAGGGTGATGTGAATCACTCGACACTCTTGGGCTGTGACTGTAAGTCATCCGTGCTAGAATGTTGCTGGGGACCCCTGTCATGCTTACTGGTATTAATTTTCCAGAATCTACCCCTTTTCCCCCTTTTGGAGAAATCGTAACCTTTACTTATTTCCGTTCCTCCTCAGAGATTACAGCAGTGGCTCTGTGATCACATCTTCAGGCCTCTGTAATACCTAGGAGGTAATTGGTCTGGGCCCGGAGACATCATTTCATTTATAATGGCTAAGTGTTCTCTTACATAGCTTAGATGGTCTTTTCCACTCATTGTTGCCAGGCAAGGGAGCTGACTTGCATCCTTGACGAGGAAATAGAGTGGTCAGGGATAGATGGAAGTCTGAGGGGAAGCAGTTGGCAGATTGCAAGCTCCATATGAGTCAATGTGATACGAAAGGGTCCGTGTCTCAGATAGTGGTAGTCCTGCTGTCCTCTGACCTGCTTAGGACACATCTAGAGTATTGGCCCCTGTTACAGTTGCCACATTTTAGTAAGGACATGGATAAGCCAGATTGTATCCAGAAGGTAGCCAGGATGGCAAGAGAGCTGGATGTCTTACACAAGTCAGCTGAAGGCACAAAAATATTTATAGCAGCATTTTTTGTAGTAGTTGTAGTAATAAAGCACTAGAAACAAAGTAAATTCCTGTCAGTTGGGGAATGATTAAACAAATTATGGTGCCTGAATGTAGTGGAATATTAGAGTATTATAAGAAATAGTCAAGACGATGAATAGGACGACTCATGAACTGATACAAAATGGAGTCGGCAGAACCAGGAGAACAACATATACAAACGACCGCAAGAGCAGGAAGGAACAGCAGCCACAGCAAGGTAAGTGAAATCTGATGCTGCAGGATTGCAACAACCAGCCGTGGCCATGAAGAAGAGGTGACTTGGGAAGAGAGGGCCTTGGTTAAGTGCTGACCGTGTGCTGAGCACTGGTGATACGAGATAATAAACAAGACGGTACGCTTTCTGGACAAGCATCTCAGAAGAGGAAGGGCCCGCAGAGGCCATCTTGTTTAAGCTGTATCCCCACAAGAATTCTCACTTCACATGATAAGTGGTCACCTAGAAGGAAAGGTTTGAAGACCTTTAGTGAGAGGGATCCCTTTCCTGTGGCAGCTCTTCCATATCGAGTCAGACTTTTTGTCACATGTCCACCCCCAGATTGTCATCCCCAACATGGATGCTTTCTTCTTCTCTAGCTTCCATGATGAGCATTGTGAAGTTTTGGTTCCAGGGTTATTGTGATCTAATTCAGCTTCTCCACTCATTCATTTTATGACCTTGGATCCAGGTCTCTTTCTGTGTCTATTTGCCCATCTGAGAGGCAACAGAATAAATTCCTCCTCTGTCCCTGCCAATGGCAGTGCCAACAGGGTGAGGGTGCACTGCCCATTGGCCTTGGAGGGTACAGTCCACTACCTGGCTTCCACTCGGCCCTCTGTCTGATGTCGCTGGAATCCTGGAGGCCAGGAATCTGATGCCTCTTTGCCGTGCCGGGTTACATGATCACCCCTCTGGGTTACTTTAGCCTGCCCCCCAGAGGCTCACTGACAGTGAGGATGACCTCTCGAGGTCCTCGTCCCACAACTGACTGGCTCACAGATCCAGAGACTCAACAAATGCCCCCAGCATCAAATCAGTCAGGCTTTGGGAGGTTGGGGCTCCCCTAGAGATTTGGGGATCCTTTTGAGGTAGTAATCTCCAAAAAATGGGCTTTCTTCCTTTCTTTCTTCCCTCTGCCACCAGTCTTCCTCTGTCTTCTTAGTGACATTGCAGAAGGCGGGGAGGTGTTGTACATGGAGGAGAAAACAAATTTTCAACTTCTCTGCCTCATCCCATCCCCAGAGAAACTCCACTCCTGTGCCTTACCTCTCCTCTTGTGCCCTACTCCAACAACAACTCTTAAGATTTCTTATTAACTAATGTGTATAAGGTGCGTTTGGGGAAGGTAGTAGATTTTAGTCAGAAGGGACTTTGAAGGGCATTGAGTCAAATCCCTCATTTTACAGAGGAAACAAACAGATTCATAAAGATTTAGTGACCTCCTCAAATCAACAAGTAACCAGTAGTAGATTGAGGTTTTGAACCTGGGTCCTCTGCCTCCAAAACTAGCTCTCTCTTCATTTAACCCAGGATTTTGATCAACACCAGGCCATTTGGATGGATACCCTTTTGCAGTAATGCTTCTCAATTACATGGGGCCTGTCTGTATTTTTACAGATGGAGAAAGACGAAACCGTGTGTGACTCCTCCCCACACATAGCCAATATCGGACGCCTGGTAGAGGTAAGCACTTGAAGGGCCCAGGGCTGTGTTGGTTTGGGCACTCTCCAAGTGGGAGGCTGAGGCTGAGATGGCCAATTTGAGCGAGTGTTTTTGGGTGCTTGAGTCCAAGGTGGGTGAAGTATTTCACCCACTCCCATGGCCAAATCCCTCATTACACTGTTAGCCCTAAAACCTGTTCGCCACTTTGGGACTTTTACTTGACTTTCTCTAGAACCAAAGACTTCAGAGCTAGGAGAGACCTTGAGATGATACTTGAAAAGAGCTTGACACAGTGTTGGCCCACAGTTGGTGCTTAATAAGTGCTTGTTCCTTCCTCCCTCCTTAAAGAGACGATAACATTCGACCCATTCCTCCTCCTACAGAGGAGGAAACTAGGCAGGAAAAGCAACCTATCCAGAATGGCTTGCCTGAGATGAGAGCCCTTGCCTGTCTTCTTTGCGCTTTCTCCAGCTGCATAGCAACTCCAAGAGGTTTTCCGCTTTTTAGTTCTTGGAAAATTCTTGCCCGTCCATCTGGTTGGATGTGGGCTGGACCACACATGACAAAGTCACCTTCTCCTCATAGCATCAGTGTGGAGTAGGTTCCCCAGAGACTGGCTTGCTTTCCACATCCCCATGACCTGATCTGTCCCTGGTTGGTTGAATGCAAATGGAAACCTGAAGGTACTGAAAAGAATGACTTTGTGGAACCAGCGCTGGCTGCTGCTTTAGAGTGACTCAGTCCATACCAGGGCTTTTCCTGCTCCTTCTGACCCCATGACAACCCCAAATTTCCATGGAACAGATATTTGTGGACTGCGTACGTGGAGACCCAGCCTTCCCTTTCTGGACCCTGGCCCTGGTGTTCGGGGCTGCTCTGCTACTTTGCAGTTATAATTGAGCCTTGGTGACCTGCAGGGGTTGCAGAACTCGGGCGAGGGTTCCTAGCAGGAATCTAAATAGATTATTGGCTTCTGGAACTGCCTGTTGGCCTTGGATGATGAGAGAAAGGCTTCTGTGTCCTGTTGTGGGCCTAAGCCTCCCTCGGACGGTTATAGTGAGACACAGGAATGGAATTGTGGGGGTGAGAAGTCTCTGGGTAGGTGGGGCCCTTCACACTGCCGACCATGATCCCCAGCTGACTCTTTCCCTTCATAGGATATGGAAAATAAAATCAGAAGTACGCTGAATGAGATCTACTTTGGGAAAACAAAGGACATTGTCAACGGGCTCAGGTAACACACTCCTCCATCTTTTTCTAAGTCCTCAGTGGTGTTGGGGCTGTCCTCCCGGGCCCGTTTAACTCCCCCCGTCTGCCTCAGGGCTTTGCGGGCTGTTGGCTGGTTGGTGAGTGGGCCTGCACGGGCCCTGTGGCTGACAGCCAGAGCAAGCCCGGGAGGGTGGATGAAGCCTTTTCCCTGGAGTCCTCTCTGCAGATACAGTGAGACCATATCAGCACTAGCCACATTCACATGGTGGCAAGAAGACTAGTGACTAAGAAATGTAAATTACTTTCATATGTGATTCCCTGGGTATTACTGACCAGGGTAGGTAGGATTTGGACAGGGCTGCCAGAGGTTCTGAATATGCCCTCAAGACTTAGCTAAATCACTGCTTTATAATTTGAAATGTAAGGGGCAGCTAGGTGGCTCAGTGGATAGAGCACCAGCCCTGAAGTCAGGAGGACCTGAGTTCAAATCCAAATCTGGCCTCAGACCAAACACCTGACACTTAGGAGCTGTGTGACCCTGGGCAAGTCACTTAACCCCAGTCGCCTAAAAAATAAGAAGAAGAAGAAGAAGAAGAAATGTAAAAAGAAATCTCCCCTTGAGTCCCCCCTCAACCATTTATCTTCCTTGGAATTTTCCAGTCCCCAACTGGGAAATCCAACACCAGTCCTTCCAGCTGGGGGATTTTGCCTGGCATCTTGGCAACACATCCCTCCTGTTGCTGTTAGAGGGACTTATACCTCACTGTGTTTTAGGGGAGCTCCCTGGTCCTCAGGCAAAATGCTCAATGGTGGCCCAGGTTCCATGAAGTGAGAGACCCCTTGTGAAACTCCTACCCTCATTAGGACCCTCTCTCTAAGCAGGTGGCCAGCATCAGAGCACTACCTTCAGTGGATTCCAGCACTCATGCACATCCCCAAGGGGGACCCAGGAAATGTCTCTTTAGTGTCCTTTCCCCTCCCTTTTTTCCTGCCTGATGCTGTTGAAGCCCTCTGGGAAAAGCCAGAGCAGGGCTGTTCCCTCCAGACTCGACCCCTAGTCCCTCACCTAGGGGAAGGGCTGGGGTTTCCCCTCCTCTCTTTCTCCTCCCCTTGTTTTTCTGACTTGTGAGTTTGTTTCTGCCCTTCATTTTTCCTTTGCTCCCTGCAGGTGTCTCTCCTCTCCCGCCCCCCTGTCCCTGGGTCCTTGTTCTTGGCCCATTAGCTTCACTTATTTCTAAACTACTCTCTGTAGATCTATTGACGCTATCCCTGACAACCAAAAGTTTAAGCAGTTGCAGAGGGAGCTTTCTCAAGTGCTGACTCAGCGCCAGATCTCCATCCAACCCGATAACTAAGCCGATCCAGGTACCCGCCTGCCCACTGCAGAGACGCAGGGAGGCTCCTCACTAAACCAGAGCGGTCCTTGTGTACAGCCACTAACCTCCCACCTCCTCGGGGGGCTGATTAACAAGCAAGCACCGTAATCCTGCAGGCTCCTGTCGTGTCATCTACCTCGTGTAACAACTAGATGCTCTCGTGTGGTGTGTGTGTGTGTGTGTGTGTGTGTGAGAGAGAGAGAGAGAGAGAGAGAGAGAGAGAGAGAAAGTGAGTGGGGGTGGCCTTGTGTGCCCCCACACACCAGGCAGGGGTGTGCATGCATGTGCCTGCCCGGGGGCCCATCATTTCCACTCTAGTCAGAAGTTGAAATGTACGAACGTGGTCCCTTCTCAGTTGAGTGTTGCTCTAAGATGGACTGATTGCTTTTGAGCCAGGAGCCCCTGAGCAGCAAGGCAGTTTGTCCACATTCTGCCTCCCGCTGCCTCCATTTTCCATGGCATGGAGCCAAAAGAACATTGGGTCTAGAATCGGAAGACCTGGGGGGTCCTCTTCTGGTGCTGTGGCTTAGTGAGCTGTGACTTTATTCAGTCACTTCTGCTTTTGGGGCCCGTGTCTCCCCATCCATAAGACAAGGGGGCTGGGCCCTCCAGGTTTTAAGTCTTGGCTTGTGGCCTCATTTGGTCCAGTCGGGAGCCCCCTGAAATTGGCAGGTTACATCTTTCCCCTGAAAAGAGGGAGAACAGCTAGGGCTCAGACCAGGGAAGCCCTTCACCGAAGATGGCTTAGGATGGGTGGGTCAGAGCCCATTACTTGACACACCTCCATGGAGGCCAGGAATGTTTTAGAAAAAGGCATTGCCAAGAATCAGGCCCACTTGCATCCTTCCTCTGGGTCCTTCACTCAGAAAAGAAGGCAGTAAGCAATGTGGTTACCCTGCCCGCCCCCTAAACCAGCCCAGCTTTCCAGGAGACTGTTTCCTTGTGTCCCCCCTCCTTGAGGGGCAGGACCGGCTGACCTCGGAGAAGAGGCCATGACATTTCTCTGCCTGGCCTCCCAGTGCCCTTAGCAACGACTCTTGGAGCCTGGTCACCTTCCTTACTGGGGACAGACACTGACCAGTCTTCCCACCTCCTCCTGATGATCACAGATGTCCCCTCGTGATGCTCCCCTCAGAGAAAGGGAAGGACTCTTGCTTGCTGAGGACGGCTAGGACACATAACTGCATAGATACAGGCAGCATCTCCAGAGAGAAGGGAAGCAATAGGAAACAGAAGCCCTCCACAAAGGAAGGTCTGCATGGTCAGCCAGTGTGGAGCCCAGTGTGCTGGGGGGGGAACTCCCCCGGGCTCCCAGGCAGGGCTGGCATGAGCCACCTCAGGGCAGGCAGACCAAATGGACGATGGTCAGGGGCCTCGACCAGAAGCCCCTGCTCTCATAGCGTTCTTCCCCATCTGCAGTGCAGCCCGCTCCTCTTTGCTGTCAGCATGGCCTCCTAATGGAGCTGGAGTCACACCGTGGGGCTGTCGTTTGGGCTGCATTTCCTTCTTGGCCAGTCACCAGCATTGCCCGTTGTCCCCTCTTCTGCTCCCAGACTGTCCTCCCGGCTCCTCAGACATTCATTGAATTGGACCATGAGCCTGGGCTCACCTGGCCCTGGAGGCCCAATAATAGTCTGGCTCTTGGTGCTTTTTCCTTTGTATTTCAGCCTGTCTGAGCCTTTCTGAGGCTAACTTAGGTGACAGGGCATAGAGGCTAGGGGAGAAGTGAGACAAGGGAACTTCTTTTCCAAAGCAGCAGCAGCCGTAATCGAGGCAGACATCCGAAAGCAGTCCTGGCAGGTTCACCCACTGGGGCTCTTTGTACTGCAGCCATGGGGAGTGTGAGCATGGCCACAGACCTGGCGCTTCACCGTGAGGACGCAGGCTCGGGCTTTGGGGCTCCTTCGCAGCGGAAAGCCTTCCCTGACGAGTCCTCCGCGCCCACCATCGGGGCTTCTTACCTGGGTGTGTCCCAGATCCCCTTGGTGGCCAGCCTGCGGAGGCTGTGAACCTCCTTCCCCACATGATCAGGATGGCCCCCCTGATAGCTGTCTAGGGACCCTTGGACCTCAGGTTAAGAACCTATGTGCTAGATTGGAGAACCTTCACCACCCCCATGTCTTGGGACTCCCAGGAGAGCGTGGCCTTGCCTTTGCCTAATTGTGGTGTGCCCCGAGCCTGCACCCTCCCCCTCAGCTCTGAGGAAGGGTCTGAAAGATGATGATGTGGGGAAGGGGTGATGAGCCTTCTCTCCCAAGAGTGTGTTTAGCTAGGAGCTATGCAGGTAGAGAAAGTCAGGCCTCCCCTTCCCCCAACCCATACCAGGGGACTGCTGTCCCTCCTTCTCTTCTTCCCCTTCCTGCTCACTCTTCCCTCCTCCTCCTCCTCCTGGTCCAGGTGTCACCTAATCTAGGGTGTGTTTTTCTTTTTCCTTCCCTCCCTACAGGTCTGTGCAGACTTTTGCAGACAAATCAAAGCAAGAAGCCCTTAAAAACGATCTGGTGGAGGCTTTGAAGAGGAAGCAGCAAAGTTAAACTATTCTTCCCGCTAACAAGCCACGCTGTGCACTCACTAGATTCCTTTCTTAGAGAACTCTGCCTCCGCCTCCCTCCCCCATGTCACGTAACAATCCGCTTCCGAGCTGCGCCATCTCTCCCGTGAATAAAGCTGTATAAGCCTTCTCAGTCTGAGACCGACTTTCCACCACATTTTCCTACAAGACCTTCCTTCTGGGTTTCCATGGAGACCATGAGTTGTTGTTGGGTTGGGGTTTTTGTTTTTGATTTGTTTTTGGGTTGTTTTTTTTTTTGTTCTCTCTTCCCCCAGTGTCCCCAATCCATTTATAGGCATCAAACACAGTCCATCTGTCTGTCCAGGCCTGCCCTCCCACCTTTTTGTTACATTGGTGTAAAAAATGTAAAACAAAAAAAATTTATGAAATACTGTGGTGTGTGAAAGAGGAAAAACTGGAAGTCCAATTCCACATGTGTGTGGGAGTTGTTTGGGGTGGGGGTGGGGGGACCCAAGAGGGATTGGTGAGGGAGGGGAGGCAGCTCTGAGAGGAGGCTGAGGTGGGTCCTCAGTGTTGTTCTCTAGACTCACCCCCAGTCCCAAGGAGACGCTATTTTCGGGGGAAGGGTGGGGGGGAGGGAGCGGGAAATCTGCTTTACCGTTCTGCTCTTCTATCTAGCCTGAATCCAGGTGCTTTTCTGTCGATTTTTATGGAATGCAAAAAGGGTTTTTTTGTTTTATTTTGGTTTTTTTTGTAAAGCTTAAACTGAAAAAAAAAATTAAATAAAAATAAATCTACATCTTATACTTGAGCCTCCATACTTACGAAAAAAAAAAGAAAACATCTAAAAAAATAATAAAAAGAAGCTGGGAAGCAGTAAACATCTACCTCCTTGATTTATTCCTTGGTCTTTCTCTAGCTTATGGATTATTCAGAATTCTGTGCACCAGCATGGTAGGATGGGATGGGCATTGAGGAAGTGTTCTGGAGCCCAGGCTGGGTTTGTCCAGGGCCAGAAGTGGATCCTTCCCAGCAGTTTGTTGGGCACGGATCTGGCAGGAATGTTGATCTTTTACCAACTCCTTTTCTCTCTGCTCCCATGGCATACTTAACATAGGATTCAGAGCTTGATTTAGTCCAAACTCCTTCCTGCAGAAGATAACAGGCCCAGTGAGGTGACATGCCTAGATCAGGTCACAGAGCAGGAATTCTAATCCAGGGCTCTGGCTGCTGCCCACTACACCCTTACTCCACATAGGAGCTTTGTTTCTTCCACTGACACCCCCAATTTGTCCCCTTTTCTGTTGTCTAGCCCGTGCCTCTCCATCTTCTCCACAATGAAATCTAAACTACTAAGATCTAGATAAGGCTTATAGCCATTTTTCTCTAAGGGGGTCTAGTAACCCTGTCAAAAAAGGCAGTAAGGTTAGTCTGGCATGACCAGCTCTTGAGGATCACCATCTTATCTTCCCTTTCTTGATACCCACTGACTATTGTTCTAAAAATAGATTTTAGCATCGTGTTAGGAATTGAAGTTAAGCTTACTGGCCTCCAGTCGACAGACTTCTTTCTCTTCCCTTTCAAATTAAGACCCACGCCTGTCTCTAGGAGGTCCTGGGTTACCCTTTCCACAAACTTTCAGAGATCACTAGCAGATTCTCAGCTATCACGATTCCTTTAAGGAGCCACAGACGTCAACCATCTCTTCCTGCTAGCTTGAACTCATAACACTTCAGAGAGCTCTACTAACTCCCCATTTCTCTTGAGTTTGCACCCCCCAATGAGCCATTTTGTTCGGGCACTGTTCTCTCCAGCTCACTGACCCTAAAGAAGATGCAAAGTTGAGATAAAACATGGTCCTTTATCCTCATGTGTACATAGTCTGGTAGGGCGATATAAACATGAGTAATACGCAGTATTACATGATTAGTACACTAGAGATTTCAGAACAGTGCTATGTAAGGGGGAAAGATTGTTGCTAACAAGGGATCAGAGAAGCAAATGAGTTAATATCTGTGAAAGTGCTTAGCACGTGACTGGCATATATAGTAGGTGCTATATAAATAAGTACACATTTCCTTCCTGAATAAGTGGCATTTAGATGTAACTTGAATGATGGGTAGGATTTCAACATCTGAAGAGAGGGAGGGAGGAGATCCCAGGCATAGGAAACTGAGCATAGAGATGGGAAAATGTGGAGCGTATGAAGGGAAAGGGATGGAAGGAGGAGGACACAGAGTATGCTTGGTAGGAGTGTACGTTGTATGGAAGGGAGTACGAGAGATAGGGTAGCGCCAGATTATGGTGTGGTAGAAAGAGTTCTGGGCAAAGGGGAGACAGTTTCAAATCCTGCCTCTTGCCATTAATAGCTATGCGCTCGGATTCATCTTTAAATGGGAGGCTACTTTAGAAATAACTAATGTTGAACTTTAAAAGTTTACAAAAGTACTTAATGCAGCCAAGCTCCGGTCTCTCCAGACGTTGTCCAGCTGTCTCCAGCGTGATCTGGTGCCACCCTACTTCATCTTAAAATAGTCAAGTTAGCATTTATTAAGCACCTACTATGTGCTGGGCACTGTAGTAAGATTTGGGAATATGAAAAAGAGGCTAAAGAGAGTCCCTGCCTTCAAAGAGCTCACAATTCTCCCTCCACGTGGCATAGCTCCTCATTTGATCCTCACAATACTCCTCTGAGACAGGTGCTTTTATCTCCATTTTACAGATGAGGCTGAAGGGTTCATCCATTTGCCCAGGGGTCACTCAGTTACTAAGTGTCTGAGGCAAATTCTAACTTGGGTCTTCCCGACTCCAAGCCCAGCTCCCTATTCGCTGCACCACCGAATGAGATGTTTGCAACGTTTTATGTCAGTTATGATTCTTACACATTTAATAAAAATTTGAGATGCCATCCTCATTATTATAACATCATGTGAAAAGTGTGTTAGATGCCAAATGGTGTTTCATCTTTGAAGGGGAAAGTTAGCACTTACAGAGTAGCATATAATCAAAGGTTTCCTGGAGAGGGAGCTCTTGAGTTCTGAATTAATGGAAAGGAGAAAGTGTAAAAAGAGAAGAGGGACCCAGATAGGGGCTTTGAGGAACAATTTCATGAAGGATGAGGAAGAGGATGATGAATCCAGGATGTTAAAGGCTCCTTCAGTTCTAACAAGCTGCAATGCTGTGGGCAGATATTGGAGGGCCCTGAGTTCCGGGCAAAGGAGTTTGAACTGTATTTGATCGACAATGTCATTTGTCCTTCATCTTCTAAGAGGACCAATCAGATCACAGGGTGATGTCTTGACTTGTGAGTGAGTTGGATTTAAGTGAGGCAGAGTTGTACAAAGTCCTCAGCCTCACTCTCTTCCAGAGTCATTGAAGTCCAGTGGCAAGACAAAAGTCAAGACAACTGGTGATGGCCCGGGACGCGCAGTGGATGATCTTGGCATCTTCGATGGCTGACCAAGCTCTAAGTGCTCCACAGCAGTTGCTTTAGCCATCGCTATAGCCATTGGAACAAATTGCGCTCATCCTCCCATTCCTCAGGGGAAGTGTTCACAAGCTTTCATGGATCTCCCTGTAACTCACCCTGTCTGTTATCCTCAACTTGGTTTAACCTGTCTGCCTTGAGACAGGGTTTACCGGGGGGGTGGCTGCTGCCCATGATACAGCTCCTTGGCGTCACAGCTGAGAGTTGGGCAGCAGGTGGACACCAAAGGTAGATGAGGAGCCCTGACACCGAGGTGCCATGCATAAGAAAGAATAGCTGGGCCACATGTCAAGAATGGAGTGGAGGGAGTAGGCAACAGAGCTATAAAACTAATTCTCACATCTATTTATCCAGCCCTAACCTCTTCTGACTCAGTTTTACACCTCCAACTGCCAATTAAACATCTTGAATTGTCCTGTAGACATCTTAAGCTCAACATGTCCAAAACTGAGTTCTCTCTTTTCCCCAAAACCATCCCCCTTTCAAATACCCTTACTACTGTTGAAGACACCACCATCCTCCCAGTCAACCCCAGCTCACAACCTTGGTGTCATCCTCAATTCCTTTCCCTTATCCAATTTGTTGCTAAGGACCTGCCAATTCTACCTTCAAAACATCTTTCGTGTATGTTCCCTTCTTTCCTCTGACGTAGCCATCACGCTGAAGCAGTAGGCCCTCATTACCTCACATCTAGATTACTGAAAGATTCTGCTGGTTGGTCTCCCTGACTCTTCTCTTCCGTCTATAATCCATCCTTCACTCAGCTATCAAATTGATATTCCTTATTTGCAGGTCTTACCATAAAACTATATCCTATTCAATAAATTCCAGTGGCTCCCTATTACCTCCAGGATCAAATATAAAATCCCCCAATTGGCTTTTAAGGCCCTTCACAACCTAGCCCCCTCCTACACTTCCAGTCTTCTCACACCTTACTGCCTCCCTATCCCTCATTTTCCTTGGCTATTCCCAGTGCCAGGAATTATCTCCCTTGTCTCTGCCTCCTGGCCTTCCTGGCTTCCTTTAAGTCCCAACTAAAATTCCATCCTCTGCAGGAAGACCTTCCCAGTCCCCCTTAATATTTGTGCTTTCCATTTGAAACAGTGTCCAATTTATCTTCTATTAAGATATCTTGTTTGTACATGGTGATTTGCATGTTGTCTCTCCAATGGAACATGGGCTCCTTGAGAGCAGGGACTAGTTTTTGCCTCTCTTTGTATCCTCAGTGCTTAGCACAGTGCCTAGCACGTAGTAGGGGCTTCATAAATACCTGTTAACTTGTTGACCTGACAACTGCTAGCATGTACTTTGCAACAGGTCACTTTGTAAAAAAGCCTCTTTATCTGACCTATGAAATACTCTTTGGCAATTCGAATCCATTCCCAATCCAACGAATGTGCTTACTGCACACCAGGCACCATGCGAAGTGCTGGACATAAAATGGGACAGTCCTGGCCATCGAGAAACTTGCATCTAGGGGAGGAGGCACACAATATAGCATGTTCCCAAATGAGAAAACACAAGATGTATAACAAAATAAATGCAAGGTAGTTTTGGTAGAGAGTGGATGCTAATGAATTGGGAGCCTTGGGAAATACCTTCTGTAAAAGGGGCATGCAAAGAGTTATGCAGTGAGATGCTTTGAGGAGGAGGGAATGGGCACAAACATAATGGACATTAAGATTCTAAAGCCAATGTAGCCAGATGCTTCCAAGCTCATTCTTTTTTTAAATTTTTTAATTGCTTTTTGGTGAGGCAATCAGGGTTAAGTGACTTGCTGAGGGTCACACAACTAGTAAGTGTCAAGTGTCTCAGGTCGAATTTGAACTCAGGTCCTCCTAGCTCCAAGGCCAGAGCTCCCATTCTTTGGTTTAAGTTCACTTCTCAGAGAAGTCTTCCCTGGAGAAAATGCCATGTAAACCCTGAAGGATTCAAAGGATTCT